GCGTGTGCGCTTGCCAGACAGACAGAGAGAGACAGAGAGACAGAAAGCAAGAAATCACCCCCCAGGGGGGATGGCCATGTTGCAATCCCTTCTCCTCCGTTCTCCTCTCGGGATCTTGGGCACACACGCACACGCGCCAGCGTGAGTTTTAAGCCACCGGGTCTGGGACATGAACCACAGTCGACTACATGGGAGTCCAGCGACATAGCCCTTACGCCAACTGCTGGTCCCTTTAAGAGGTTTCTGCTATAGGGCACGTGTGCTCGCCAGACAGAGACAGAGACAGAGAGACAGAAAGTGAGAAATCACCCCCCAGGGGGGATGGCCACGCTGCAATCCCTTCTCCTCCATTCTTCTCTTGGGGTCTTGGGCACGCTCGTACGCGCGCCCGGTGTGAGTTTTAAGCCACCCGGTCCGGGATGCGAACCGTGGTCGACTATGTGGGAGTCCAGCGACATAGCCATTACGCTAACTGCTGGTCCTGCAGAAGCATTTCTAAATTTATTAAATTTAAGTATTTTTACAATGTTCATATTAAGTTCAAAAGTATTTACTATACTCAGAGAAATACTACTTTTGATTTAAAAAAAAAATGAAATGCACTTTTTTTTTCTCCCTGTTGTATCCTGATTCTTGAGGGGATTTTGATTCCTAACTTATAATAGAAATGTTTATCTTTTGGGACCAGCAGATGGCATCATGGCTGCATCACTGGACTCCCATATGATTGACCACGGTTTGAGTCCTGAACCTGGAGGCTTAAACTCACGCTGGGCATGTATGCGTGTGTGTCCAAAGCTGCAGGTGGAGAATGGGTTGTGGCGTGGCCATCCTCTCTGGGGAGTGATTTCTTAGTTTCTGTCTCTCTGTGTTTCTCTGTCTCTCTGGTAAGCCCATGAGCCCTTTAGCAAAAATGCCTCAGAAAAGAAAAAGAAATGTTTATCTTTTAATACAAAGGTACTTCAAAAAGTTCACTGAAAATCAAATTTAAATAGAAATTTATTTTGGTGCAAAAATGTTTTGAAATCCATGCATAGTTTTTTCAGGAAGTGCATTTTCTATGTGTATTTTTGAAGACCGCTTTGTATAAAATAAAAATAAAAATAGAATTTTCTCATTCTTTCTCCACCCCAGTTCTTTCTGGAGCACTAGCCGGTCACTCAGTTACATATTACTGTTACAGGAAAAGGTGACAAAATGACACACTTGGACCTAAGTAAATATTTGACCCGTTCCAGTGAGTGCCTCAGGGAATAGTCAACCAGTAAATCACCACAGGAGTCCACTAGGCTTCCATGGGTATGTAAAAATGACACTATTACCTCCTCTTAAAAACATAATCATAGGAACAAAATTGATCAGACTTCTCAAACAACAATAGTGCTTTAGGAATATCCATATACAGAAGGTGGTATGAAAATGGAATTGGAGGCTCTCGAGCCTGCCATACTTGTGACCTAAGATAAGACAATTTTTTTCTTGTTTGTTTGACTTTATGTTATAAGCAAAGAGCCTGGTCTGGCCAGTGGCTGTCCATAGGCGTAGTACCATGGGTAACAGGCAAGAGTATTTTCTGTTTTCAAAATGACTGGCACTTTCTAGGGCAGGGCAAGGGTCACCACACATCCAGAAACTGTCTCCCATCCCCATCAACTGTCAAAGGCCCCTCCATTCTTTCCTCTTCTTAGAACCTTCGCTCTGACTCTCTAAGCCTGGAGAGTAATAGAGAACCGTGTTATCAGTACAGGAATCGTTTTAACAAACCGACTTTTCCAGAGAGTGGACTCCCATTTAAATGTCTGCTTTTGTTTGGAATTTTACCAAGAGTCACTCACCATTTCAGAGAAATCACCTCATCTATGGCAAACCTGCTGCTCGCTGAGTCTGCGTCAACGATATGGCACGTCAGGATCAGGACGCTCTTGCAAGTGTTACGTCCACACTGACGCCACACATATGGCCAACAGCCGCCTGCTTTATATCTTGTCTTCAGTAGAAACATGCCTGAGCACTTATATTTTGAAATACATCATGTTTTATTATAAATTACTTTCCTGTTGTATCACAATTAGGGCTTGATATTGGTGTGTGTGAGTGTGTATGTGTGTCCATGTGAACTTTCTTTTAGACAGGTCTTGCTGTATTACAATCTTCCTGCCTCAGAACTCCCAAGAAGCTGAAACAATAGGCTTTTTATTAAGGTGGACCTAAATTGAACCCAGGCCTCCCACGTGACCTCAGCCTGCCAAGCAGTAGCCTCTGGCATGTGCTATGTGGCTGGGCTGGATTTTAATTTTAATTGTTTTTTCATTTTGTCAGGGGGCACATGCACTCACTCCATGCACTCACTCAAGGGAGACAGAGAAACAGAGAGGGAAAGGGTAAAACACCTCCCATGGGGTACAGTGCAATCCCTTCTCCTCCATTTCTCCATCCTGTGAAGATTCGGGCATGTGTGCACACTCACCCACCCTGCTTCTAATTTCTTTAAGTACTAGGCCACAGGCAGGCCATCTAATTTTATTTTTAACATAACCTACTTACCCATGGAACTGCAGGCTAATCAAAGGCTAATCCAAAGTATTTTATGAAAATCGGATGCTAAATCTGGTAGGGATGCAACCTACCATCCTACGTCATCCTATAAGACTCCTTGAGATTCTGACTCCTTGATTCTACGAAAAACACTCACCCTGGTGAGTTCTGACCATTAGCAAGCCTTTACCTCTCTTCTTACACTTGAAAATGTTTCAATTAAGTTAAAAGAGAAATCCATGTGGTTGCTAAGGTGATGCATAAAATGCAGGCTCGCGCGAAATGTTCGGACATTGCTGTGAGCAGCGGGGAGTTCCAGTGCTGCTGCTCTGTACAGGAGCGGGACAGCAATGATCCTAGTGTGGAACTGGAGCCAACTTGGGTTGGGCCTCAGGAGGCTACCCCGTTGGCCTCAGCAGATGACTGTGCCCCTGTGCTGTCCTTGGGCTTCGGGGCACACATTTCAGTGTGATCGGCTGCCTCAGCATTTCTCCAAAAAAGTTCATTTGTAAGCCTACACACCAGCAAGTTATGCAAAGGTTCCAAATCTGGAACCAGCCAACACCTTTCACCACCGAACTGTGCAACCGTCCACTTCGCAAAACTCGTCTTTTGAAAAGCAACAACCTCAACTCAACCTTGACTCGCAGATTGGTGTAACTTAACTCCTATTTTTCTGAGGCAATCGTTCTGGCCCCAAATTGAAGGGTAACTACTATTCACTCTGTGTCAACTTCTTATGTATGAAAATACACTGAAGATACAATTTCCGAAATTATCTTCCCTTCCCAACTGGGGATCTCTCATATCTGATCATCTGCCATCACTCCCTCACTCTTCCATCATATAAGGTCCTGCCAGAGGCAACACTTTTGACCTTCTGCAGATTTTCATATGTTAAAATATGCTAAGACAAAGTCTGAGGAAATACTCCACAGTAAAATAAGATAAATTCATATTACATATATATATATATATGTATACACACACACACACACACACACACACAATACATATATAAATGACCCAGAGCCAGGAAATACCTAACTACATACTACAAAGTATCATACATAAAAGAAAAAAAAATAGACAAAAACTTTAATCTATATACCAAATACAGTACAAGATATAGAATACTCCATTAGAAAATTGCATCAAGAAAGTTTAATCAACATTTTTTTAAAAAATTGCTATAGAGCACTTGATGGAGAAAGAGAGACAGACAGACAGAAAGCACCACCCATGGTGGACGGCCAAGCCACAGTTCTTTCTCTTCCATTCTTCTCTTGGGATTTTGGGCACATGCACCCAGCATACTTTTCAAGCCACCAGTCCAGGACTTGAACCATGCAGTTGGTCATGTGGAATCCAGCTGCCTTAACCATCAAACTGCTGACTGTTTTTTTTTTTAAGGAAAACTTTATTGAAGCATTTAAGTAATATGTTCTTCACACGCTATTATGGAAATATTTCAGATCTTTTAAAGATCAAATAAAAATACATAGACATAAACATTTATATGTTACACTGGGCTGTTGGAAAAGTCATGACATCTGTCTATGTTTTTCCATGCGAAATGTAGGACTTTTCCGATGACCCAATATATATGTAAACATTTGCTTTTTAATGCATATGCACTTCTGAAAATAGAAAATACTTTTAAATTTATACAGGAATAAAAAAGATCTATTATCAGCAATTTTTTTTATATAAATGATTCTCTTAATTTTCCCTCAATGCCCTTTCATACACACAGGACACTAAATTACCAACCTTCTGAAAACAAATGTCTTAACCAAAGAAACATGTACAACATAAAAGGATTCTGAACGAATACAGCTTTTCCAGTTCCCCATATTAAACCATTTACTCTCTATCACTACCATCTTGATGGCCATCTGACTTCCATAGTTTTGGGGGCTTATAATGGTTATAGGCTGGTGTTTGGGGTGAAGGGCCCATTTTAACTTGATGTAGCAGTCTAAATTTATCTGATTCAAAAATGAACAAACAGAAGCTTTGCCACTGACCCTTTGAAAAAAGAAAATGACAAAACAACAAGACCTAGCCCCAGCAGTTCTTACCCGCAGGGCCTCGATGACAAGGTCTCTGGCCTCTAGCTCCCCTTCCATCACACTGAGAAGCATCCGCAGCTCTGATTTACTGAGGGCGTCCACGTCAAACTCTTTTTTCTGTAACACAAATAAAAAATAAAGCAATGAAAAAACTATTCCTAAGAAAGATACACACATACTAAGGACACACGATGCAGCATTTTGATCCTGGTGGTGCAGCAGAACCAAGGGGCACTGTGAAAGTTTGGCAGTGACAATCTATGCCTTGACCTTGGAAGAGAAGTAAAGACCATAATGTCAATGCCCCAAATCTCCCTCTACAGAGATACAGTTCCTAGTCTGGCCTGCACACCTGGATTCAGAATCTCTTCAAATTATATGGCACAAATTTAAAGTCCCCGGAGTCTGAATCAAAATGGGGGAGTTTTAAGGGCAGCAAAGAAAGCATGGAGGTGTTCGTAGAAGGGCCCCAACATAAAGCTCCAGGGAGGTTATTATAAATTCCAGGACATCCAATAATAACAGGTCATGTTTATAGAACACTCTGCAGCAGAGGCCACCAGCAGGCTGCCAACAGCCAAATCTGGCCAACAGATGTGTGTTACTTGGGCCACAAAGTGGTTTTCTTTTTCCTTATTTGGCCAATATTTCTGAAGATGTCACCCAAAAATCCAGACCCTTGACTTTTCTTCAAAAGTCAGATGACCGATTTCCCCAGATTCACATTCCCACAGGGCAATAGTCCACAGAGCCAGGGAGCAGCTGCCCCTTCAAAAGAACACAGTATACACACTTACACACACACACACACACACACACACAC